ACTTGATCTTACACTCAAAGGTAAAGGCATTAGATCCAAAGGAGATGTGGGATTGAACCCATAAACAATTTCAAAAGGAGAAAACTTAGTCGCGGAATGCATCGAATGATTATAAGCAAATTCAACATGCGACAAGCAATCTTCCCAAGTTTTAAGGTTCTTTTTAATGAGCACACGTAACAAAGTCGACAAGGTTCGAATAACAACTTCAGTTTGACCATCGGTTTGCGGATGACATGTAGTAGAGAAAAGCAATTTAGTCCCTAACTTCGACCACAAAGTTTTCCAAAAATAACTAAGGAACTTAGTATCACGATCAGAAACTATGGTCTTAGGAATGCCATGCAAACGAACAACTTCTCTAAAGAACAAGCTAGCAACATGAGATGCATCATCGGTTTTATGACATGGAATAAAATGCGCCATTTTAGAGAAGCGATCAACAACTACAAAGATAGAATCCTTACCGGCCCTAGTCCTAGGCAATCCTACCACAAAATCCATAGATATATCATTCCAAGGATGCAAAGGAATAGGTAAAGGGGTATACAAACCGTGGGGTTGAACCTTAGCCTTAGCTTGCTTACAAGTCGCGCAACGTTCACATAGTCGCTCGACATCTCTTTTCATGTGTGGCCAATGGAAGTGTTCTTGCATTACCTTGTACGTCTTAGCAACTCCAAAGTGTCCCATTAAACCACCTCCATGAGCTTCCCTTAGAAACAATTCTCGCAAAGAAGAGTGAGGCACACAAAGTCTATTATCATAGAATAAATACCCATCATGCCGATAATATTTTCCAAAGGCAAACTTTTCACAAGATTGAAATATTTTGCTAAAATCAGAATCATTAGCATACAAGTCTTTTATTTGCTCAAAACCCAACAATCTTGCATCCAAAGAAGTAAGCAAAACATACCTCCGAGATAATGCGTCGGCTACAACATTATCTTTACCTTTTTTGTACTTAATCACGTATGGAAAGGTTTCTATGAATTCGACCCACCGTGCATGACGTTTGTTGAGCTTTTGTT